ATTAATTAACAAATAGCTTGACCTAATTCAAAGACAAAAAAGCATGAAAATGGACAACACCAATCACACTTGCACCCCTAGGGTTACTCCACTTGTTGCCTTCAATAATGGGCCATGTTGCATGTTGAGTGTTTTTGGCAAAACAAAACAATATCAAATGATCATAGTCCCTCGATGACGCTTTCCAAAGTTGCCTAAAAATGATCAAGTCCCTTAAAGGAAAAGTTGCCCAAAGACACTTGGCACCATTGCAATCATGGTCTAAACGATGACCCGCGCCTGTCCCGTTAACATCCTAACACAAGATTTGTCCACCAAATACAATGGTGGAACAAAATTGTTAAAAGGGTTAAAATATAGGAAAAGCCTTTGGGTAAATTTAGGGGTAGACAAAACTCTTAGTTACTTGATCAACTTGCAAAAATACTTGCCTACTTTTCAAAGCACACATCACAACACACTTTCAAAACAATTTTCAAAAACATTAAAAACTTTTCAAAAGACATACACCTTTGTATACATCCAAACATGGGTCATTACAAAGGTTGCCACCACATTGGCCTCTTTCCAAAACATTTTCAAACCCACACACAAAGCACCATTTCAAACAATTGAAAATTAAAGGCAAGTGATCTAAGCAAGTAACTAAGAGCCCATGGATAACCATGGATAAAAAGGATGCTAATACCTTCCCTTTCTATAATCTACTCCCCGAACCCAAGAAAACATCTCAAAGGTTTTTGCTGTGCTTTTTAACCTTTCCTTAGGATAAAATAAAAAGTCGGTGGCGACTCTTACTCAACCGAAACATTTGCGAAAACAAACGCAAAACCCAAGTCAGTTCTCCCACCGTATCACATTATTTTAAGAGTTCTGATCAGTCTTGGGAAGATGAGTAGTTTTAGGATATCCATACAACTTGAAACAGAAAGGCCTTATGTGACCAAACCTTCCACAGTGATGATACCTCTAGGGCCAGGATTTCTTTCTAGTGTGAGTAAATTTTTCTTACCATGATGTTTGCCATGATGTTCAGATATTTGATTCGACATCTTTGGTTTAGATTTGACATGAGTGGAATTTGATGAAGATTCTTCTGAAACATGTTTCTTTTTCTCATTAAATCCTAGACCACTCTTGTCTCCTGTCGCTCTCCCCACTTGAAGAATTTCATCTAATGTGTCAGATTCATTATTCAGCATCTTGAGAGATTTGACAACTCTATCAAGATTTAAATTCAGAGAAGTCACTTCACTTTCCAGATCAGAAATAGTTTTCAAATTCTCTTTCCTTTCTGCCTTCAGCTGAGTTATGAGTGCTTTCTGTTTCTCCCCTTCTAGGCACACTTCTGCACTTCTGAGACATAATTCTTTGTATGAAGAAGCTAACTCATTAAAATTTAGTTCCCCATCACTAGACTCTTCATCAGATACATATTTTCCTGTCAATGCTTTAATATACTTGGTAGATTCTTCAAGATCACTCTCTGAGTCCTCTTCAGACCAAGTAACATATATATTCTTCTTCTGTTTCTTAAGATATGTAGGACATTCATCTCTTATATGACCAGAGCCTTCACATTCATGACATTGTATTTCCGTCCCTTGAGTGGATTTTTCTTCAACCCTTTTTCTTCCAAATTCATTTGACTTATGGATGTCAGATGAGATGTTCTTGACATTTGATCTTAGGTTCGTATTCATTCTTTTTATCACTTTGTTAAACTGTCTTCCAAGCATAACTAAGGCATTTGATATTCCTCCATCTGTATTAAGATCACAATCCTCTTCTTCATATTCAATATTTGATACAAAGGATATGCCTTTGTTCTTCTTTTCAGATATTTCATTGATGCTTAATTCAAATGTTAGAAGGGATCCAATAAGTTCATCCACTTTCATTTTGTCAATGTCTTGAGCTTCTTCTATAGCAGTCACCTTCATATCAAATCTCTTGGGAAGAGACCTGAGCATCTTTCTCACCAATTTATCTTCAAGTATTTTCTCTCTTAAGATACTGGATGCATTAGCAATCTCAAGAATATTCATATAAAAGTCATTAATACTTTCATCATCCTTCATTCTCAGATTCTCAAATTTTATGGTGAGCAACTGAAGTCTTGACATCTTAATTTTGGATGTGCCTTCATGAGTAGATTGAAGAATTCTCCATGCATCCTTAGCTACTTCACATGTGTTCACTAATCTGAAAATTTTCTTGTCAATTCCATTGAATATAGCATTGAAGGCTTTAGAATTACCAAGAGCAATTTCATCTTCTTCTTTAGACCAATCTTCTTTTGCTTTTAACTCAGAAGTAGGTTCTCCATTTTCACCCAATTTGACATGGTGTTTCCATCCTTTTAAGACAGCTTTCTAAGCTCTGCTGTCCAGAGACTTTAGAAAGGCCACCATACGTGGTCTCTAATAGTCATAATTACTTCCATCCAGAATGAGTGGTCTGTTCATGAATCCTCCTTCCTTGTCCATAGTACCAGAAAGTATCTTCCCTAGATCTCACCCAGATATAGAGCAGGATGTCTGCTCTGATACCAATTGAAATTCTGGTATCAGATATGTGATGTCGAAGGAGATGTCACGGCACAAATATCTGAGGATAATGTAAAGTGCAACAATAATAAAAGTAGTAAAAACACAAAGGATTGTTAACCCAGTTCAGTGTACAACAACACCTACTCTGGGGCTACCAAGCCAGGGACAAGTCCACTAAATAGTATTAATTTATAAACCCTCAGTAAACAATCAATTTACAATCTAATCACTTAATCACTACTCGTGCTATACTTCTACCTAAGACACACCTAGGTATGAGACCCTCCTCAAATCCCTTCAATCATTAACAGTGAAGAACAACAGTATTATTAAATTTTAAAGACTTCAATCATTCAATACTTAAAAGCTTATGAATGATGCACAATTAACAACTCAAATTATAACTCAAATATTAAACCAATACTTAGAGTGTATTACAATTAAAAAAGGGTTAGACTTCTAAAACAAAAATAATATATTGTTCTTCAAAAGTTGCCATTTTTTGAATAAGGAAGCAAGTCCTTATAAAGGCGCAACAATGGGCTTGGACTGAAAAACAAATATTCCAATCTTTTGAATATTTCCATGAAAACAAGCCAAGATATAATCCATAAGGATAATTCAAATAGAAAAATATTCCTCCATATTTTTCGCAAGTTATGAGTCACAAATCCTGAAAAATGGCGCACATAAAAATAGGAAACAGAAAACTTAGACAGATATGAAGTTTCGTTCAGCTCTGGAGACAGATGTCAAGACATATGCTTTGACATCATTCAATACAGTTTGCTTCAAATGTCAAGATATTTAGCAAAATATTATCAAGTCATTGTTTTACCAAAATTGCTGCCAACAAACACTTACAATTCCGAGTTGCATTCCCTCATTGTATTCACCCAAATCTCTCTTTTCCAAACTTTGAGCAAGCTACTGAAACATCTGAGCAAATTTCAACAACTCTCCAAAATTCAGAATTTGAGTAAGTTTCTCCGAATCCATTATTCTACTTTGCATGTGCATAATAGATTATTTAGAATCATTTAAATTCAATAGGCTGAAGTATAACTTATAAAATGTGGCTGTTTAGGATTAGACATACGCAATAGACTATGCTTTTTTTTATTTACTGTTGTAATCATTTTACATTCCGTATTTTCTGAACAGTTTATGTATTATTTTCCAGCATTTCTGAACAACTCATTGTTATGTTCATATCATTTTCCGTTTGCGTGTTTATTAACGTTTTAACCGAATTACGTATCAAATCCTTGTGTTTTTACGTAGTGACATTGATGTTTTTTTTTAAAAAATGCCACAAATAAATCTTAGTTTTTGACAATCATTTTGTCCAGTGTTTCAGATATGCATATCCGAAACACCTATTCTCACCTCTTTAGGGTGCTTTCGAAGATGCATCTCCGAAGTAATTTTTTTAAACCACTTTATAGTATACTCAGATATGCATCTCCGAAAAATAAATTAGGATTTTCAGAGATTTAATTCACCCTATAAGAGTGTATTACGAAAAATTAACATTATTAACTCAAAACCGACCAGACAACAAACATGTGTGATGGTTTTGAGTTGTATTTTTTCTCCCTTTTATGGTATGGATACCAATCGAATACTCCATCCGTAGCAAATTATAAATAAATTTGATTTTTTTGATACATTTGATGATTAATGTATATAACCCATATATAAACTACATACATTAACTGTCAAATATATCGGAAAAAAATCAAATTTACTTATAATTCATTACAGAGGAAATATGACACTAGTTGTATATCGAAAAATAATCCAAGATCAACCCGGCCAAAGAGCATCAGGCGCGTGTGGAACATTTCAAGAGGTCACCCTCTCCACTATATAAGCACTACGGAATTTAAGGAAATTTTCAAATTCACACTAGTAAAGACTCATGCTTATTTCTTTCCACTTTGAAGTCAACTTCTCCATTCAATTTCCAAGTTATTCAGTTAATTAATATTAAAGTTTAAAATTGAAAATAATATTCATTTAAAATATATACTTTTTTTGTTAAAATGACACTAATTGTGACATGGGTGATATATTCAGACCCAATTTTAGTAATAAGCCATTGAAGTTTTGAAGGTGTGGTTCAAAACCAGTGTTCAATGGATTCTCCATTGTACAACAAGAACAACAAGAACAAAGAAAAGAACCTCCAAAAATAAGGCAGCAGTAGTAATAAATTTTCTATGTAAAATATCATCATAATAAATAACAATTTCTAGCTTTCAGCAGCAGTAGTACATCTGGAATCAATGCCCAAAAATGGGTTAGAAATGCAACAACATATGTATTTTACACTTTAGCTTTCTTCAACTCATAAGCCAACTACATGATTTACTATCACCGGCATTCAAAAACACTTAGAAAAGTATTACGCAAGAAACACTCGATGGAGGCCATACATTGTTTCTAAGAAGTTTGTACTTTTCCCTGAGACTGCGCATTGGATTTGGCAACTCCTTCTTTCCATCCTTTCTGGCGAGCTCGAAGCTCCCACAACGCAGTTAGTTTCTTCTGAGCAACTAATGCTAACTCAGCTTTCTCCCTCGCCTGCTCGCACGTTTCCATGCCAGAATTACACTTGTCTGCTTCTTTCTGATACTGAGACGCGATCTTCTTTGACTCAAGGAGAGCCATGTCAGCGCGTCGCTGATTTTCCAAAGCATCGGTCTCGCGTAGCTTTAGTTCCTCCGATAATAGCTCGGCAAAATTCTTTTCGGTGTCTCCACTTACTTCTGGATCAGGCTTTGCACAATCTGTATAGTAATTCCAATCAAGAAAAGAAAAAGAAGATTGGTTGGTGAAAGAAGTTGAGCCTTAAATACCAGTAAAACATGGCTCACAATAACACTGCTGTGCGCAAAATGAATTCTCTGTTCTCGAGCTTTCATGTTTAGACCAAAAACTCGTTATTCAAATTTAGACCAAAAACTTATTTAATTCAAATTTAGACCAAATTCTACAACAGATTTAATCAGGAAAATGTAAACCAAGCATGAATTAATGGATTTCAATTTAGTTCATCTAGGATGCAGAAACTAACCTCCAAATGAAATGTTGCTCAGCCCTGCAGAAAAAAAGTGAAAGAACATGAATTAAGGAGCAGTAAATTATGATAAAAACATGACAAATTTCACATAGTTCAATAAAATTGAAGCCCTAAATCATTGAAAAATTCCAAAAACCCTAATCATATGCACTATTAACTGAAAAGTTAGATCAACACTGCCTATTAATCAAATAATCACTCAAATTCAATAATTGAACTAATACCAGTTACCACAATCAAAAACAGAATCACATAGAACCTAGATCTCAAAAAGATTCAATTTTTTTTCTGAGTTGAAGTACCCAATTGAGAAAAGATCAAAACTTGAACTAGATCTAAAAAAAGGGCAATTAAGGAAAGTTAATAAAAAAGGGTAAGAAATAAACAAAACCTTGAGGAATTGAAAAAGTGGGTTGTGGAGAACAATCACAGAGACAAGGGGCACAATTGGAAGAAGAAGAAGAAGAAGAATGTTTGACAGCAGCTAAACCTTCTTTGAAATGCCAATAGAGAGGAGGACATAGTATGTAACCTGCTATGCAAAGAGCTACAATTACCAAACTCGCCCTCAAAACTGCAACCCCTGATTTGTTCATAGCCATGTATATTGGTGATTGCACATAGAAGACAAAAACTGAAATCTAGAGAGAGAAACAAATGAAGTTTTAAGGTTGTGTGTGTGTTGTGAGTTTTTGTCGGTAATTTGAAGTTGAAAGAGTGAGAACAGGTTGTTGCCACTGCAGGAAATATCCTTTATGTAAAAATATATATAAAATTTAAGAAAATAATATATTAATCTTATTTATTTATTTATTCTTCTCTTATTTTTGGATTTTTTCACTATGATTTATTTTAATCTTATTTATTTATAAATTCTTCTTTTTGGATTTTTTTTTTGTGACTTATGGGTTCAGTTACAAATACAATGTTAGAGAAATAGTATGATATGTACTAAATGGGGGTTGGCATAGCCTAAAAGCAAGTTTGTTTGGTATCCATGGTTGAATATTTAGCTCACATCACTATCATTTTAGGTTGAAGTTCCAAAACTTCTAACTAGTAATAGGTTATATGTATACTTCATTATAAATTTTAATAAATTAGTGATTCTCTCTGAATTTGTATTGAAGTATGTCTCTCTTAATTTAATTTTTTTATTTAAAAATTACTATTATTTAATACTTTTCTCGTAACGAATTATAAATAAATTTGATTTTTCTGATATAATTCTTTTACTGAAAATAAAACATAATTAGATAAGAAAGAAGTCATTACATATCATGTGATAAATTTGGTCAGAAATTTTCTATTGTCAACTTTGTCTGTATGTTTCACAAAAAAAAATTAAAAATTAAAAATGTCTTTTAGATAAAAATTTAAAGTAAAAATAAATAATAAAATTGTTAAAGAAATTAATTTCTCAATTTTCTAAATTATAAATCTTAAATTTTGGATTATGATTTCAAAGTATTAGTAAAAAATTCATTGCTTCCCATCTGCCACAATAGATTCAAGTGTGTTATTATATGTGATCGATAATATTTTATAGGCTACATATTAAATAAAATATTCTGATAATATACGTGACATTCTATCTCTAAGTATTTCATGACGCATTTGTGGTAACGAACATGTTAAGGAAGGTGTTATAACATCATGTCTCTGACTGTGTTACTTGACTCACAAGTTTAATGTCGAGATCTCGAGTTGTCAAGACTTGTTTGCTTTAATGTTCAATCAAAAATCCGATTTTAAAGCGCATACTCGTTTGGGAAAGAATTATCCTGAATCCATTTTAGCAAGATTGAAATTCTTATTCTTATCAAATTCAGATTTAATCAATATTTTTCCAATCAAGATTCATAATCAACATTATGAAGATTGATATTTTGTACGCTTTTTGGTTCCAGCCGCTTACACGCCAAAACCCTACTAGGCTTTTTATGTTGGGCAATTGTTGCTATTTAAGGGGATGTTCTCTATTGTGAAAACTCATACCATACATTGTGAAGATAGACATGTTTATTTGCTATTAAGATTGTGTGTTTTTGAATTGTAATACTTTATTCCCGCGTTATCTTTCTAAGTTAGGAAAATAGAGTATCTGTGTTGTAATTATAATTCATCACTTCATCTTTAATTTTGTAATTGTACATACACTTGGGAAAATGCTTGAGTGAGAGTGTGAGATATATCAAATTCAAGGGGAGTCTGGATCACATATAGTATTAGGAAAAAACACTAAGTTAAGAGAGTTCAGATAAGACCTATGTGTATTATTGACTCCTAAGAGTTAATTTCCTTTCATTTGGTTGATGCCCTTCAGGCGTATATGACTTTGCACTGAACTAGGTTAGCAATTACCTATGTTATTTATTTTATGCTTCTATTTTTCTGTTAAGCAATATTGTTGTCATACACATTTTTCCAACATTGTGTCTGACATCTTATCACTGGTAGAACAAAGTTTCAATTGAAATCAAAGAAGCCACTTCGTTCTAGTTAGGAGAGCTCCATGGTTTTTATACTTTCTGTTCAAGATGGAAAATGCTAAAGAAGGAGGATTTGTGAATCAACTACCAATTCTTGATGGTACGAACTATGACTATTGAAAGGCTCACATGGTTTCCTTTTTCAAGTCTATGAACAACAAGACTTGGAAAGTAGTCATAAATGGACAAACTCCTCCAAAGGTTACAACTGAAGACAACACTTAAACCTTGAAGCTTGAAAAGGGTTGGTCTAAGGAAGAATGCGAAGAAGCACTTTGTAACACTCGTGCTCTTAATTCCATTTATAATGGAGTAAACATGAATATCTTCAGAATCATTAACTCCTCCACGAGTGCCAAAAAATCTTTGGAAACTCTTGAAACTACTTATGAAGGCACATTTTGTAACATCCTAATTTCCCCCTGAATAATTTTAAATAAAAATAAGAGTAAATTAAAAACATTCAAACAATTAGGATGCTACCTTCATCAAACATAAACATGCCAATAACAAATGACATGTAACACATACAACTCTTTTAAATTATTAATAATAACTATAACAAACATCAGCATATCTAACTTCATTTTATTGCAGCGGAAAACATCAGTAAGTTATTATTTTAATATCTCAAAGGATAATCATATCTTATAGTAATTATAATAAATAACATACATAGGAGGAAACCTAGTAATCTCCTCAAAATATAAAATTAAACACAAAAGCGTTCCATTCCCCCAATTTTATATATCAGAGCAGACACCGACTCGATAAAAGCATAACGAAGAACACACTTTTCTACTCATCCACAACTTCACTGCAGATCACCTGCACATTACCCACGTGGAGGCAACATTCAAACAGAAATGGTGAGATATCATAATAATCTAAAAGAATGCATAATAACAAATAGATAACATATTATTACATGCATAGTCACGCAATTCACCATTCACACACAAACCACAACACCAATTTACATATCCTTTATGTAACAACATCATTCATACAACAACAACCATTATGCAATGTAATGAGACTCAACAACTATACTCAATGCATATGGTACCAAAATGTGAACTCTCAGTTTCACCGCTCTGATCCTCACCTAGGATCGAAGCTTACCAAATGGACCTCCGTCCAAAATTGTTACCAAGTAATGCTTCACTAACCCATCACCATAGGAATTAGATACTCGCACTCAATCTGCACAATGGAATTGAGGCTCACCAAACACAGACCTCCGTACTGAAGTGGTGAAAAACACAAGAAGGGGGGGTTGAATTGTAAAACTGAAATCTAATGCAATGAACAAGATATTTTTATCCTGGTTCGTTTGATCTCAAACTACTCCAGTCCACCCGTCAAGGTGATTTCGCCTCTCTCCAACGAGGTCTTAATCCACTATATTCAACTGAATATTACATACTGCTTTAACAACTGCTAAAGCCTTCTTGATCCAAACCACAACCCGGTTTGTCAAGGAAACACTTTCTTACAAAGAGATAAAACTAAGTGTGTGAATGTTTTCTACAAAACTGTATCACAACTGTGATGTATACACAAATTGAAGCTTAGAAACTAGATTGCTAAACAATGATAGAATATTTTACATTCTAGAATGCCCCAATCTTCTGTGCCAGATCCTCTGCTCGTTGTTAACAGACAGAAGACATTTTACATTCTGACTCTTTAGTTCAGAAAGTTTGATTTTGTAAATGTTGTTTTTCCTCTTACCATTAAACAGGATAGTCCCATCTTTCTGACTAACAGCTTTACATGATTTTTGATTAAAGATTATATCATAACCGTTATCACTTAATTGACTTATGGATAACAGATTATGCATCAATCCATCTACTAGCAGAACATTATTAATAGAGGGAAGATTTCCATTACCTACAGTTCCAGAGCCAATTATCTTTCCCCTCTGATTGCCTCCAAAACCAACGTGGCCTCCAGGCTTAAGTTCCAGGCTTTGGAACATCTGCCTTCTTCCCGTCATGTGTCGTGAGCAGCCAGAGTCCAGGTACCATGACTGGTGTTTCTGACTTGCTGCTAAAGATATCTGCAACATGTATTATTTTATCCTTAGGTACCCAGATTTTCTTGGGTCCTGATTTGTTAGTTTTACCAAAACTCTGGTTGAATTTTGGTTTCACAGAGTGCTTACTGCTAGTGTATTTAATGTCATGTGTGTGACCATACACGAAATGTGAATTTAAAGGAGTGTGTTTAATTGTTAAGTCCATGACATTCTTTGGTGTAGGAACCTTACCTTGGTATCCTATTCCTTTCCTGCCGTTTCTGCTAACTCCATAGATCATTGAAGCCATTCTGCTTCTATCTATGCTTTTAGCTAGGAACTTCTGGAAACTGTGATCATACTCCTTGATGATCTCATCAGCGTTGCTGGGAGTTTCAGAAATTGGTTCCTTCTGAGAGTTTTGTAAAGTGTTTTCTAATTTTGAAATCTTATTTCTCAGCTCAGAATTTTCCAATTTGAGACTCTCAGTCTTATTAGAGTCAGATTCAAGATTCCTTTTCAGGTTTCTGAATTTAGCTCTAATTTGCTGATAACGTTCCAGAATCTCATTAAGGCTTTCAGCAAGTTCAGCCTTTGTAAAGTTAACAGCAAAGTTAGGAAATACCTCTTCAGTATCTGATTCTGAGTCTGATTCAGAAGCTTCACTATCTTCTGAGATGTTAGCCATGAGAGCTATGTTTTCCCTCTCATCATCTGATTCTGAGTCAGCTTCAGACGAGTCAGAGTCATCCCATGTAGCCATGAGACTTTTCTTCTTCTCTCTTCCAAACTTCTTTTTGGGCTTTTCCCTCTGAAGCTTTGGGCAGTCACTCTTATAGTGTCCTTGCTCATTACACTCATAGCAGATGATGTCCTTGGTGTTTGGCTTTTTGCTACTGGAGGAGCCTTCAGATCTTCTGTATCCAGAGGAAGAATCTGTCCTTCTGTATCTGGAAGAAGACTCGTTTTGATCAGATCTTCTAGGATTCCTGAACTTTCTTTGTCTTTGCTTCCATAGTTGATTTACTCTTCTGGAAAGGAGAGAGAGTTCGTCTTCTTCTGATGAGGATCCATCAGATGTTTC